GTCAAGCATTGATGAAGCGTCACAAGATCAATATGTACAGCTCGTACTCGACAACCAAAGCCTCTATTGTGGAGGGTCATTCCACGCCTAGGTAGTCCGGGGGGTATTTTTTTTTCCCCCTCCAAATGACCCAACGATATTTATTTTTGGACTCCTTAATACTCCTAGTTTTTGGAAATATATGTGGTTTACCTCCGTTTTGTTTTTTTTCTCGCAATTTTTACGTGTTTTGTAACCCCGTTGCTTAGCTTTATCCTACTGTAAAAAGAGTGACAGTTTGGTAGCAATGTTTTCTGGTGTTCCCACCAAAACCAAGTTTCAGGTTATGCTGGGAGTTGTCAAGAAACTGATTCAATGTGCTCCTGCAAAGTTTCAATTTTTAAAAGTAATTACTGTATATTATAAGTAACTTTTAAAACTTAGTGTACTGACTGTCACACCCGTTACGCAAAACATGGGTTTTTTAATGTAACTATTTTAATTTATGTCATTTTGAGATGCCAATTTTTTCCGTACGTCTTCAAGTCAAGTACAGCTTTGGAGTATTTTTTCCGAATTTTTATCTCAACAATTGATGGGCAAAAATGCGTAACGGGTGTGACACGTTACGGGTGTGACCAATGAGAAGAGGCTTCAATTATGCTGATGTTGCCTCACTTCTCACCATTTTTTCTACGGTTATCACAAGAAATACACTCATATGCATAATTAGAGGTTATATATACATCTAATAAGAGAGAGATAGCCATTTTTTTTGCCATATTTCAGTATTTAAAGTGAATACACCTTATCTCAAAAGGACTTCAAATAGAACTCGTTGAACTCTCTCCGATTTGATTGAAATATTTTCACTTTACTACAGGCCCAGACCTACCGTGCCAGGGTTTTTTTTGTGGTTAATTTGGGCCATGCGAGGTGCCGATGCCGATGGTGGGACCGCGGGGACGAAAGGGGAATCCTGGGTTACCCGAAGAAAAGCCCTGGGACGGTAAGTCTGGGCCACCCTGTAGAATATTGTAGTTTTGGCATGTTCTACATTAAAATGCGTCATATTGCAGATTGATTTACTGCTCAGGATTGCCTACAATAAGAGTATGAGAAGAAAAGTAAGTTTTTTAACTTTTAAACTCTCTCAAAAATGATGGACCTCAGAGAGACAATTTGTCACACCCGTTACGTCACACCCGTGACGCAAACGGTAGGTCTGGGCCACCTTGTAGAAAAATGTAGTTTTGGCATGTTCTACATTAAAATGCGTCAAACTGTTGATTGATTTACTGATTAGGATTGCCTACAATAAGAGTATGAGAAGAAAAGCAAGTTTTTTAACTTTTAAACTCTATCAGAAATGATGGACCTCAGAGAGACAATCTGTCACACCCGTTACGTCACACCCGTTACGCAAACTTTCCCATTTTTCAAGGAAAGAAAAACAGATAATCGAAAACGGATCATCGGCAGTTGAAGCAAAAACCCTTGGCTTCATCATATAATTTAATCAGATTTTTACATTCATAAAATTCGCTGAGTTTCCACTGTACACTCACTGAGGAAAAACTCACTTCCAAAATCAGTCACACCCGTTACGCATGCCTTTTAATTTTTTCTGAGGAATGGAACAAAGTAAAAACAATTTCTGATAAACTGAAATGATCTATAAAAAAAGTTCTTTCTGCTGCTGCAGATAATTTTTTAATTAAACCCCAAGAAAGAGTTCAAATTCTTGTTTAAAGTTAAATTGTTGTCACACCCGTTACAATGGAATGACCCTGGAGCGATTCAACCGAACGCTCAAAACTAAGATGTGGAAAGAGTTTAGCGCGCAAGGATCGTACAAGTGGGTAGATCTATTACCGAAACTCATTCGTGAATATAACGGGAGCGTTCATCGCACCATCGGGATGAAACCAATCGATGTCACCGAAAAGGATGTACCGATGATCCTGCAAAAGCTTAGTGGGCCGCCGCTGAGTAAAATTGAAAAGAGACGTCTGGCCAGACGGAAACTGAATGTCGGTGATCACGTCCGGATCTCGAGACTCAAAGCCATGTTCGAGAAAGGATACACACCGAATTGGAGCACGGACATTTTCAAGATTGTCAGCGTCAATCCGACCGTTCCGATCACGTACGATCTGAAGGACGCTTACGATACGATCATCAAAGGAAAATTCTACCGCGAAGAACTCCAACCCACCAACTATCAGGATACGTTCCTGGTGGAGAAAATTCTGCGTCGCAAGAGAAACCAGGCCTTTGTCAAATGGTTGGGTCTGGACGCGAGTCACAACAGTTGGATCGATAGTAAGGATTTCGTATAAATAGTATGCAACGCGAACTCTTTTAAACTGTAACTGTAACTGTAAATACCCCAAAAAAATGTTTGATTCATCAATCTGAGCATTGCAATACCCAATCCTAGTCGCTCATCGCAACACACAAGGTTCCCGTACGCATTTCCAAGCGCACACTACTAAAAAATGAAAATTATCGAATCAGACCCTAATCTCCAGTCTCCGATACCAGCCCCATACTGTAAAATACGGTCTTTCGAGGCCGAAAATTTTACAAGCCAGAAATCTCGGAAACGAAAAGTCGTATTAAAATTCGGTCAGTACAGTTTTCCGATCTTCGAAAGTGGAAAAGAATCGCATCGATCCGCAACGGACTGGACGAGGGTGATTTTCCGAAAATTTTTCAATTTCCCGGATCAGACCCTAATCTACAGTATCCGATACCAGGCCCATGCTGTTAGAAACGGTCCTCCGAAGCCGAAAATTTGTACAAGTCCGAAAATCCGAATTTTTTGCACAATCTGGCAACATTGTATCGAAAATTAACTAATTTCTCGCCCCATCTGCAACACTGTAAAATGCGATGTTGCAAAATTTCACCAATAAATAAATCTTATTTAAGTGCACCGTCCGGCAACGCTGCTGCGCCATCTTGAAAAATACACCATTGCATAAACCGCAGATTGAAGGGGCTACATTACACTATTGCATAACCCCATTATTGAAGGGGCAACATGCAATACTTTTACTTTTACAACGTTGCCATATTGAATAATAATTACCATACAACGCTGTATTTTAATTCGTATTTTTCTGCACCATCATGCAACGCTGTTGGATTTTTTAACCTGGTCAAGTCGCCATTTTCATACTACTGGTAAACGCCTGTAAGAACATGATGGAGCATTTGTCGACAGTCATCCAACTAAAAGAAAAAACAGATACAATTACCACCACTGACATCAAAATCAAACGAGGAATCTACCACGGGGATGCGTTCTCCTCCCTCCTATTCTGTGTTGGGTTAATACCCCTCTCTATACGGTTAATGAACATGAACAATAGATATAAAATCAAGGCAGGCCATAAGAACTGACGCACCTCCTGTAACTGGATGATCTGAAACTGTTCAGCAGCAGCGACGAGAAACTGCAAAAACAACTTGAGAAGGAGAAAGAGTTTAGTGATGACATAGGTTTAAGAATTGGCCAAGACAAGTGTGCCAAGGTAACCTTCGAGAAAGGGAAATACGTCCGCGGAGAAAGCATGTATAAAGACGTCGACATTATAGTCCAGTCATTCTAGCTTTTTACCTCGGACAAATTAGCACAAACTTTTCCTTAGGTATATAGGGTCTCTAGGTACCCAATAAGACAGAAAAAAAAGTTTACCAAAAAATTCCACCGGGAAAGTGATCAAATCGCAGTTTTTCAAAATGGCGGCTTGCGGCGATTTTCAAAGAGGACGTGCATACGGATTTTCATTTATAACTCAAAAATAATGCGTTAAACAAAAAAATTGCAGGAGATTAGATTTAAAGATCATAAAATTTTGATTAGGAATCATATACAAAACTTAGGCTTTTATTATTTTTTTTCTTTCCGAATTTTACTATTTAAAAACAACAACCGGCAAAATCTGCTGATAGTTCACGATTTTTCGCGTTCTTGATCATTTTTAGGTCAAAATAATTAATTAAAGGTTAGAAACAACGACACCACTGAAAAGTACGCTAAATTTTACGTAAGTATACATATTCATTTTACCTTTTCATCTTTTATGACCTCATTGTAAGACGAATCATTCAAAAGCATGAAGTCAATATTTAACAACAAATTCAGCTGTTTTCTTCTGTTTCCAGCGCTTTCGATCAATTATTTTTCAACAAAAGTACAACTTATATATACTTTTTTGAAAGGTTATAAAATTTGCAAGACAAATAACACACTGGTTTTTCTTTAAATTTTACAACATGTACCTGAAGGCGTATTTAAGGAAATTACGCTAAAAAATGATTTCTCTATAAATTGCAGAAGTTCAACGTTTTTCGGCTTTTTGACAGCTGGAAACTAACGATACGATTCAACGATGGTAATAATTGTTTAGAAAATAAGATTTCCAAAAAAATTGCATTCCTGAAATTACTGTTTCGAATTTTTTAAAGAGAGTTAGATAAGGCGTTAAAGTTGTCTATTGGAAAACCCGGCTACTGTGTTTAGAACCTTTTCCTTGACATATACCCAAAATTTAGTCATTTTTGTTTGAAGTAAATTTTATGGTACCAATGTAATAGCACATAAAAGTTAAAAAAATGTTAATGAATGCATTTTTCAAGGTACTTAAGTGTACTTAGAAGCCAATTTTTGAGACGTTAAAAATGTACAAATTGTTCAATAACAAGGCTTTGTCTCATGTTCTTGTGGTTTTTCATGGCTGCAAACAATTTTTTCAATCAAACCATGGTAATCATCGAAAAGCTAGTAAAATTTTGTGTAAGAAAAATAACTTTACTTGTATTTTTGGCGTCTCTCGTGAAAATACGGAGGCAATGTTGAAAAAAATTGCAATTTGTCCGAAAAAAATTTTCCCGCGGTTTTTCTTATTTTTTACGTGTTAAAAGGCGTTTAAGAAAAAAAACAAGGTGCGAAATGAAAAGTTCATGAAATTTCCCATAACCTAAGGCTATTAAACCTTGCCGTAAAACCTTTATGAGGGGTCTTAGTGTGCCATCCTATAAAGTCCTATCTAATAGTAAACTAATTCGCGGGCTATTTTTAAACTTTTACTTTGCTGCAATTGGTCCGAGTTCCCAGGATCTGGTAAGTTGCAAGAATCAGAATCAGCATTGGTGCGCTCTCTCGCGGCTAACGCCGGAACCCTAGTTTTCTCTTTCACTTTTCCCCTCCAGGAGCGCTGTAGTTTCTTTCCGGTTGTCTGATTCGCCTTGAACTTCTCAGATCCTAGCGACTCCGGGAGCCATTTTGTCTGTTATTGTCCGATTCATTCGAGTGCAAAGTCCCAAGTCCGGTGCGTGTGCACCTAGCTTTTGCGTGACCAGGCCTCGGCCTGGCCACTTTTTCTCTCTCACCTCTGTTTGTCGGCCGACCGAAAGTTTTTAGTGCCAAGTTTTATCATCGCCTTTTTTCAACATCTGAGCATCTCCTGTAACCTGGAAGCCTGGGACCTGTGCCTTGAAGGGCAATGCTAGCCGCATCTTGCTAAAACCGCAGTTTTCAAACCCCATTTTGGGTAAGTTAGACTTGTGAATCTTGACCTTATCTTGAGCTTTTAGGCTTTCTAGCCTCGTGGCGATTCTGCCCAAGTCATACCTAAATCAAGTGACCTACCAAAGTCTATGATCTCTTTGAACCTCAAATTAAGGATATCATTTTCAGTTCTTTCCCAGCACAAGAATGTTGGTTTTTCTAGCAAATCTAACTTGTTCATTTTGGCCTGGAGAACGCATGAAGGCTCTCTGATCTGATCACCTGTCGCAGAGACCTAGTTTCTGGTGCTGGTTACCGAACTTCTCGGCAACCTCAGAAACTGGTTCTTTCTCCTGTTACATAGACTTTAGACCTAGTTGTCACTCTCACTCAGAGAAAGAGATGTTTCCATGTTTTCTCTCGGCCAAACTGTCAAGCTCCTATTTTTGAGATGCGCTGCGAGCATTATCCAGGCGTGCTAAGCACTATGTTTTCTGATGTTCTATGTTTACTTGATCTCTATTTGACAGATGAGACTGTATGAGCCCTGAGTGCTCCTTGTTTTATTATGGTTGTGTATTTTTCTCATTTGCAGGATTATTCTGTTATTTCTAGTCTTATCTCTGAGCCTTTCCTGGCCTAGTTCAATACATGCTGGCCTAAAGCAAGCCGCAACCTTGTTCAGTAGAATTTCAGTACTTAGATTTTCTGAGCCTGCAGATTTAGTTATTCTGAAGCCCCTAAGGCAGAGCTGTTTCCCCAGTATTGTTTTTAGCCTTATTTTTCCTGATAATAGATCATGTACATGGACCTAACTTAGCCTTAGGCCTGCGTCCGTCTGACCAGGCAGTTCGTACTTTGTACTCAGTGCCTTCCATGATCACATAAAGCATATTTTTTCCTAATTGTTATTCTGTTCCAAATCATTGTGTCAAACCCCCATGAGATTCCTCTGAGCCTTCTGCTCTATCTGTATTTTGAGTTTACCGAGGTCTCATTCCTGTTTCTTGGTACTAAATAAATCTGATCTTTCAACAGGGTTTTACCTATAGGATCCAATGTGGATTTAGACTGCTATCCTGTGTGATATCCTGCTATCATGTGCTGATTTAGATTGCTGATTTAGATCGTTGATTTTCTTACATCCTGTTTGTCTGAACAAAACCCTTGGACCGGTTTCACCACCAGTATCATCTTTAGTCTCACCACCAGCTGAGTTTATTCATTGTTCTGTCCAACTTTTGTCAGTTTGTAGTCGAAGTTTGTGTCCTTCTGACACCTTTTAGTCCTATTGGACCTCAGCCCATTTGTTTAGACCGAACTCACTCTGAGTAGTCTAATGAGCATCTGAATCAGCCCAAATTTCTGTGATAATTTATTTAATGCTCAAAGTTCTGTGATCCCGTGATATATGTTTCTGTGATAGCTATCAAGGCCACCGAGCCCTTTCTCAATAAAGTTTATCTGTATTAAAGTTTGTCGTTGATCTTATATTGCCTGCAATACCTAAATTTATTTCTGTAGTATATTTTCTTTTGGTCCGTTGCCCCTATCTCAACTCTATTCACGCTTCCCACCATCTTGTTTTTTTGAGAGATATGCATCGGCTCATTAGCACTGAATTTTGGTTTAAAAAAAGTTAAGAAAAAAATGATGACATTTAACTTTTTTGTTATTTATGAGATTTCATTGCTTTAAAATGAGCTTTAAAGTTAAAGTGAATGATGCAACTGAAAAGTACGTTAAATTTTGGTTTAGAATGGTATGTTCAACATCCTTTTAAGTAAATATATTTGCCGGTAGGATAATTTCTTCTGGGATCAAAAATGACACTTTTCTGAAAAAAGTCCGTTTTTAGCTCCATTTTCCTAATTTTTAAGCATTTTAAAAGTGTTTGATCAAAAAACCTTTATAACCACGTGAAAGTACATAAAATTTACAATAAGATAGGGTACCTTGTTTCAAAAATTTCCATAATTTTTGGGTTTGACACGGCTTTATTTAAAATTGTAAAAAATGACGATATTTACAGAAAGTTGAGTTTCTATCCAAAACACCGTCCCTCAAAAGGTCGTATCAATACAGCAAATATTCCATCAATCGTGAGAAGTTATTTAAATAATTTCTGGGGAGCAAAAATTAATTAACGTAATATAAAATAAATAATAGGAGGGGAAACTGACCCACCTCCTCCTCCCTGCTTCCTACAAAGAGCGCAAATGGATATATTATGACCGCCAGTACGGAAGTAACAGATACTTCACGCATACAAAGTGAAGACAAATTTCATCGTATATATGCATACAATCACGTAAAAATAAACGAATAGGACAGAGCTTGGCGAAATCTGTACATTTAAGGGTTTTTAAAAATATTGCGGAATGGAACATCTCACATATGAGGGAAGTTACAATGCAAGCACAGCCGCCGCCGGGAAGCGCTGTACGTGAGGGATTGGGCTGTGTAATGGCGGCAGCTCGGGGAGCGGGTCTTTTTGCGTCGGAGGAATCAATAGTAAAACTAACAATTATTATGATACATTCACCACACCGTTGAAGGTTTGGAACTTTTGGGCGGCCAACTCAAGCGTAAGCGCGAACAAGGATTATAACGAAAGTGCAGATGTCAGCGGGGGGCGGGGTTGTCAACAGGGGAGAGGGGTATGCACACCTATGCTTTACGTGACGTACCGCAGGCTCGTGTGAAATAGTGAAATCTAAGTAAATAAGAAGGAAAATAATATGAACATTAAAATTTTACTGCCCTCGGCATCTTGTCAGCCGAATATGCGACATCATTTCCCACATTATTTAATATTATTTAGCTTTCAATAGACCGAGTAAAAAGTTAGTACATATTTTATTTCAATACTCGGCTTTGTATTTCTTAATCTGTGTCAATTAAATATTCGACGATACTGAAATAATTACGTTTTAAGACTTATACTCTCAATTAAACAGCTTGGAGGACGAGGTGTATAAGTGCACCTCGTCGAACTATTTCGAGAAAAACATGTTAAAAGTTGCTAACTATTATACACAGCCTTATGGCAGAAAGAGAGTTCAAACTCACACTTAAGCACTGGATGCTTCCGGTGAATTTTTCACAAACTTTATTTTAAACCTAGAATTAGTTGGAACCACCAATGTGTCATTTTTTTCGAAATCTGCACTTATGTGCCTTGTCCTCCGAGCCCCTCAATTACTTTTTTACCCTGTCTTATTACCTTATATTATAAGTTTTCAAACCAAAACCAACAAACTTTAGTCAAAATACTAGGTAATATTCAATGTCATGAAAATCAGCCGATAAACAGATATTTTAAAAATTAAGGCCGCCATCTTTTTTCCACTATCTTGAATTTTGATTCAGACTGAAAGTAACGTCAAATTCGAATTTACCAGATCAAAATATCAGGATACACCGAGTTTCATGAAAATCTGCCGATAAATAGGTAGTTTTCAAATTGTACCCACCATCCTTAATTTTAAAAAAATTATGGCCACCACCTTCTTCCCACCACCTTTGATTTCAATTCCGGTTAAATTTGACATCAAATTCAAATTCTCCAGGGCTAAATACAGGGTTTTACCAAGTTTCATGCAAATCAGTCGATAAACAAGTATCTAACAAATTATTGCCGCAATCTTTTTTCCGCCATCTTGAATTTTGATTCACACTGAAAGTAACGTCAAATTCGAATTTCCTAGATCGATATACCGGGGCACACCAAATTTCATGAAAATCTGCCGACAACTAGGTGTTTTACAGTTTTTTCTTAGAATCTTTAGCTGCGATAGGCCAAACAGTAAACGGATCAGGTATACACCCCCCCCCCCGTCGACCATCCCTCTAAGGTGCTTCTCCCCTTACTATTTACCATGACTAAATTAATAACAAAATTTATTTCAAAAATAGTCGAATATTCGTGAAAAAGGGTCACACTAATCGAAATTCAAGCCAAAATTTACACGAAGTAAAAGATGACAAATTTGACACCATTCCATAAAGGCCCTATAAAGGTCTTATACCTTCAGTTAAATTCTGCTGTAATATGTGTTTTGAAAAGAAAATTTCATGCTCTTTCCGCTGGTACCAACAGTTTTTAGAGAAAAAATTCTGCCGAAGCTGTATTTTTTTAAAAGTTACAAACCAAACTTGAATGATTTTTTTCACTGGATGCACTAGAATTACGCAAAATCGGGAAAACGCTGGCGAAGTCAAGAATCAATTTATACGTAATTCCAGACGGCCGCCATTTTGTTATAAGCAATTTTGACTGTGTTCCCGAGGGGGGCTAATGGTAAACTTTTTTTGGGGGGCTCTAGACATGTTTTGGAGCGCTTTAAAACACAAGAGAAGTTTGTGCTAATTTGTCCGAGGTTAGGCCCTTTTTTTGGCTAGAATGACTGGACTATTAGCATCGCTGCTCAGTAAGGGTGTGCTAAAAGCAGAGACGGAGAGCCTAATGAGCCAGATAAGTCATTTTTTTTATTGTGTAATTCGAAAGTAGTAAATGACCGGAGCTTACAGTTTTTTCCTAATTTTTTTTGACGACTGCAAACGGGAGAAAAGTTTATTCGAAAGTGCCAAAAATTAGGGTGGCCGAAAACGGCGTTTGAGCCGCGCGCTCGTAGGTTTCGAATGTACACGTCACGATCAATATGGCGGCGAAATGTGTAGTGGAAGAATACACGGCGGCGTCGCGTCGCGTTGGCGGTATGTTCTTGTTGGTCAATTGGAGGTTATGTGGGTTACTTTGTTTGAGATTCATATCCATTGTTCTTAATTCTCTAAGCTTTTCAATCAGAATGCGATACAGATGTATGTAGGATATGAAACATTCACACAGAACTTACTTAACCTCAAACGAGAAATCGTATTGTCAACAACGGTAGCGTGGCGGTAGTAAGCAGGTCGGTTTCGGCGCCGCCATCTTCCTGTTCATGACGCGTAGATTCGAAGATTCACGGCGGTCGGTTCAAACGTGTTTTCGAGGACCCCGAAAAAGGAGGTGTTACATCTCCGGGGAGACAATTTTTCGTAAAATTTTAACAAGCGCATCGTTCTTCTCGTACCGAAAACTGTCAGATTTGATTATTCGCAGGAAAATCCCTCCCGAGCTTAACTGACGCATTGCATGATGCACAGTGAATACTTACTTCAGAATTACCGTTGGCGTCGGCTACTGCAAATCCAACTCTCTGCTGAGAGCAACAATGTGTGCTATCTCCATTAATATGATTTCCAGAATTAGATTTCAACTCGGATAAAATTCCCTGATTGGCTCCATTAAATAGGATTTGTCTGGTTTTATCTGTGAAAGAAAGAAGAAATGATTAAATCCACGGACCGATGGAACCAGCTCCTGCTTGAGGCTGTTAACTTAAAAGGCATTATCAAAATCCTGCAATTTCTGAGTGTCATTGTGAGAGGAATAACAGTATGCTATTTGACCAGGAGTGCCAAACCGGAAAAGAGCTACATTCTTACAAAGAGAAAGAATGATGCACTGGTAAAATAAGATTTTCAAATCGCCTGTGTTCCCGGTAATTTTTACAGATTCACACAGTTCAAGAAAAATTGAGGGTAAGTTTCCAAAGATACGAAAAAAATGAAGCTGGAAAGGACTCAGAGAACTGCATGTAACAATTATTAGAGAATATACTAACATCATTGGCCGGTTCCTAGATGAAAGAAGATCGACTAGATTATTCGGAGTCACTAATAAAAAAAAGAAAAGGGGAGAAAAAAGAAGAAGAAAATGATTCATTCAGAGCAGAAGCATTTATTTGATAGAATCTTATAGGGGTTATTTCACGTTAACAGGAGTAATTAATAAAATGTGCAAGACCTTAAAAATAACACAAACACCAATTTTAAAACTTTCATCCTTTCATTTTAATGGCATTAAACTTCTTTCTTCCAGCTTTGGCATGAACTATTTTGATCTAGCACCAAGGTATACAGGGTTATCCTAAAGTCACCTACCACCCCTGTAACTTTATTTCTAATTGAGATAGAAGTTTGAAATTTTGGGAATGTTCCAGGGTTTAAGGTTGCAACTTTTTGGTCCCCCCAAAATTTTGGGGGGCGGGGGCTAACTTTCTTTTTAAAATGGCAACCCCCCTTTTGTGATGCCTCATTCGAAGGATAATAAAAAAGAAAATATTCCCCTCCATCCGAAGATTTTTGACAAAATGGCGGCCGGTCAAAGTTCAAAATGGCGAAAATTTGGCATCTCCGTTTTTTATCGGTGGATTGATCTGAAACTCTGGATTCTAGGGTTTTCGGGACAAGAAAAAAGATTCTGGCATTAGTTTTCCAGAAATGTCAGACCTTTAAAAATGGCGGCTTAGAGCGGGAAGTGGATATTTAGGCTGCTTATCGTCGGATTTGTATGAGACTTGGTATCCGGAGGTATTTTGGCACGAGAAGAACGAATCATTCATTGGATTTTTGAAATTTTTAAAAACTTTAAAATGGCGAAAAATGTGAATGGCGATGGTGGATGCGGATTTTCCGTTATTTTTCCGCCACCGTTTTGACGATATTCAGTGTTTCAAAAATCTAATGAAAGATTAATTTTTTTCGAGCCAAAAACCACCAGAGTATTGACTTTTGTGCAAATCCATCGGTAAACAGCCTTGATATGGATTTTCCGTAATTTTTTCTCCGCCATTTTCAAGTTTTTGAAAATTTCAAAAATCCAATGAATGATTCGTTCTTCTCGTGCCACAATACCTTCGGATACCAAGTCTCATACAAATCCGACGATAAGCAGCCTAAATATCCACTTCCCCCTCTAAGCCGCCATTTTAACCGCCGCCATTTTTAAAAGTCTGACATTTCTAGAAAACTAATGCCAGAATCGTTTTCTCGTCCCGAAAACCCTAGAATTCAGAGTTTCAGACCAATCCACCGATAAAAAACGGAAATGCCAAATTTCCGCCATTTTGAAGTTTGACCGGCCGCCATTTTGTCAAAAATCTTCGGATGGAGGGGGATATTTTCTTTTTTTATTATCCTTCGAATGAGGTATCACAAAAGGGGGGTTGCCATTTTAAAAAGAAAGTTAGCCCCCGCCCCCCTTAAGGGAGGCCGCCCCCCAAAATTTTGGGGAGACCAAAAAGTTGCAACCTTAAACCGAGGAACATTCCCAAAGCTTCAAACTTCTATCTCAATTAGAAAAAAAGTTACAGGGGTGGTAGGTGACTTTTGGATAACCCTTTATAACTTGGTGCTAGATCAAAATAGTTCATGCCAAAGCTGGAAGAAAGAAGTTAAATGCCATTAAAATGAAAGGATGAAAGTTTAAAAAGTGGTGTTCTTTTATTTTTAAGGTGTTGCACATTTTATTAGCTGAGACCATTGACCCTGGTTGTTCTTCTCTGGGCTATGCGCACCTTGAAGATATCAGGAATAATTTTTTTTTTTTATTTTTTTTTTTTTTTTATTAGTATTAAGTGACCTTTCACAAGAAAATATACACTTTGTTTCTAAAATATAATAAAAGTAGAAAATACTAATGACCGAGAAGTTTGTAACTTTACGAAGTATTTGAGTGTACATGATTATTAAGATTGATGGTTCAAATCAAGGGGCTGGCCAGTTCCCACGGTTTCACCCGTTTGAGGCGTCTGTACTCATTTGAGTTGTCCAGTAATAATAATGCCTCTGTATTGGGGGTGGTGATGGAGACGTCTCTCATAGTTGGTGGCAACTTTGGTTATAAATTGTGAGACAGTCTCCATCCCTAGGTCTCTATGTATATCTGAATTTCGTTCATACCATCGTGCTCCGACTATCTGTCTCAGAGCACGGTTTTGGACTCTTTGTAATATATCTATGTTAGATCGTGCTGCACACCCCCAGATTTGAGCTCCATATGCCCATGTGGGTCGTACAATTTGCTTGTATAGTAATAGCTTATTGTTAATACTTAACTTAGATTTTTTACCTATTAACCAATACAATTTTTTAAGTTTGAACAAGCATTCGTCTCTTTTTATTTTAATATGTTCCTTCCATTTTAATTTCGTATCTAGGTGTATACCTAGATATTTGGTCACTTCTGAAGGTTTTAATAAGACTTTATTAAATATAATGTTAATATCCTTAATACTACGATTAGAGAATATCTTATGAATAGTTTTTGCACAATTAAGTTTGATGTCTTTTTCAATCGTCCAGTTATAAAAGTTCTGAAGGTTATCTTCAAGTTCTAATGTGGCTAATTCCTGGCTTTTGTTGCTAGATAGATATGTTGTGTCATCAGCATATTTTCCTAATAGAATCATCAGCATATTTTCCTAATAGAATCAATTTCTGATGGAAGAAATGTCTTTGCAAGAAAGGTTAGACCTGACGTCACAAAGCTACTTAGCTGCTCCTCTCACAAGCGGACCTGACGCTCAGGACCGTGGGGCACAGAGTGGAATAACCGTGGAAGATGTTAATGAAAAGTTGAAAGAAATAAATGAAACACCACAAGAAAAATTCGAACTGGCAACCTTAATCTACAACAATAGAGATGTTTTCTCTGAAAACCCTGGATGCTGCAACTCCTTCAGTGCCAAGTTGAGATTCAATGACACCAAACCTTTTTCCAAAAAAGTATACCCATTCCATTCTCCAAAAGGAACTTGGTAAGAAATGAAGTCAAACGTCTTTTATATTTAGGTATCATTGAGCGTTCTTCTAGCCCCTATTCAAACCCTCTGGTTCCTGTAATAAAAAAGCACCAAACTGTTAGACTGTGTATTGATGCACGGGAGCTCAATGCCCGGCTGGTGACTGACTCAGTCTCCGGAACTAGTCGATAATCTAATTACTAGTTTCGACACCCCTAAATATATGTCAACGCTGGACTGCACAGCCTCTTTTCTGCAAATTCCGCTAGCAGAGGAAAGCAGGGATGCGACCAGCTTTCTTTTTGAGTGGCAGGACTACAGATTTTGCCGAGTACAATTTGGTCTCAATGTTTCGATGCAACTCTTCATCAAAGCAACTGACACAATTTTCCCGGAAGAGATGGAGGAAATATTCCTCCAGAAACTATTTAGATTTTAATAATCAACAAATCTGGATCAATTGAAGTTAAAATTATGGGGGTGATAAGCATAACGGAGGTATTTACGTTTTTTGAACTAAAATTTCTAACCGCTATAACTGATTTCTTAAAAGTCCTGTGAGTAGCAACATAAAATATGAAAATTCTATATAGTGATCTTAAAAATATAACTATTATCATTAGAAGAATCGTTATGTTGGTTCTAGATCAGTTAATAACTGACTTAAATGAAAAAAACTCACCCATAATATTAATTGAAGGGGGCATTGGAGCATTTCCTATACCTATAAAAAACCATATCATTATTGCTGTAGGAGTTATGGGTCATTCCACGCCTAGGTAGTCCGGGGGGTATTTTTTTTTCCCCCTCCAAATGACCCAACGATATTTATTTTTGGACTCCTTAATACTCCTAGTTTTTGGAAATATATGTGGTTTACCTCCGTTTTGTTTTTTTTCTCGCAATTTTTACGTGTTTTGTAACCCCGTTGCTTAGCTTTATCCTACTGTAAAAAGAGTGACAGTTTGGTAGCAATGTTTTCTGGTGTTCCCACCAAAACCAAGTTTCAGGTTATGCTGGGAGTTGTCAAGAAACTGATTCAATGTGCTCCTGCAAAGTTTCAATTTTTAAAAGTAATTACTGTATATTATAAGTAACTTTTAAAACTTAGTGTACTGACTGTCACACCCGTTACGCAAAACATGGGTTTTTTAATGTAACTATTTTAATTTATGTCATTTTGAGATGCCAATTTTTTCCGTACGTCTTCAAGTCAAGTACAGCTTTGGAGTATTTTTTCCGAATTTTTATCTCAACAATTGATGGGCAAAAATGCGTAACGGGTGTGACACGTTACGGGTGTGACCAATGAGAAGAGGCTTCAATTATGCTGATGTTGCCTCACTTCTCACCATTTTTTCTACGGTTATCACAAGAAATACACTCATATGCATAATTAGAGGTTATATATACATCTAATAAGAGAGAGATAGCCATTTTTTTTGCCATATTTCAGTATTTAAAGTGAATACACCTTATCTCAAAAGGACTTCAAATAGAACTCGTTGAACTCTCTCCGATTTGATTGAAATATTTTCACTTTACTACAGGCCCAGACCTACCGTGCCAGGGTTTTTTTTGTGGTTAATTTGGGCCATGCGAGGTGCCGATGCCGATGGTGGGACCGCGGGGACGAAAGGGGAATCCTGGGTTACCCGAAGAAAAGCCCTGGGACGGTAAGTCTGGGCCACCCTGTAGAATATTGTAGTTTTGGCATGTTCTACATTAAAATGCGTCATATTGCAGATTGATTTACTGCTCAGGATTGCCTACAATAAGAGTATGAGAAGAAAAGTAAGTTTTTTAACTTTTAAACTCTCTCAAAAATGATGGACCTCAGAGAGACAATTTGTCACACCCGTTACGTCACACCCGTGACGCAAACGGTAGGTCTGGGCCACCTTGTAGAAAAATGTAGTTTTGGCATGTTCTACATTAAAATGCGTCAAACTGTTGATTGATTTACTGATTAGGATTGCCTACAATAAGAGTATGAGAAGAAAAGCAAGTTTTTTAACTTTTAAACTCTATCAGAAATGATGGACCTCAGAGAGACAATCTGTCACACCCGTTACGTCACACCCGTTACGCAAACTTTCCCATTTTTCAAGGAAAGAAAAACAGATAATCGAAAACGGATCATCGGCAGTTGAAGCAAAAACCCTTGGCTTCATCATATAATTTAATCAGATTTTTACATTCATAAAATTCGCTGAGTTTCCACTGTACACTCACTGAGGAAAAACTCACTTCCAAAATCAGTCACACCCGTTACGCATGCCTTTTAATTTTTTCTGAGGAATGGAACAAAGTAAAAACAATTTCTGATAAACTGAAATGATCTATAAAAAAAGTTCTTTCTGCTGCTGCAGATAATTTTTTAATTAAACCCCAAGAAAGAGTTCAAATTCTTGTTTAAAGTTAAATTGTTGTCACACCCGTTACAATGGAATGACCCTTATTGAAAATATTCCCTTGTTAACAATGATTCTCCGAGACTTAGAGTTTTTATAGATAACATTTGCTATGTAGAATAAGCCTAGATACTTGCGAGCAAGATACTTGCTCGTTATGTCGATGACTTTAAAGTTGTCTCATCCACATTTGAACTCCACCTTGCTCATCTTCAATCAGTGTTTATTGCCCTCCATAGAGCAGGTATGACTTTGAAATTTTCGAAGTGTTTCTTCCTCTTAGACGAAATAGATTTTACCTTGGTTACACCCTATCTCAAGAAGGAATAAAGAAAGACCCCAAGAAAGTCCGTGCCATTTCAGAATTCCCTACTCCTAGAAATGTCAAACACCTCCAATCTTTCATTGGACTTGTAAATTTTTATAGAAAATTTCATGATCAGCATTCAGAGCTTCTAAGTCCATTACTACATCTGTTGAAAAAAGAGACCAGTTTTGTATGGACCGTCTCAGAGGAGGAAGAATTTCAGAAAATTAAAAAGACATTTGAAGAGGAGGTTGTGCTGTCCTACGTTGATTTTTCCAAACCCACGTACTATCGACGAATTTAGTTTTGCGCAGAGTCTCTGGTGACTATTTAGCGACGGCGAGGCGCGTTGCCTGATAACGCTCTCATGAAGACGCTCTCGTTCCTCAGTGAAAGCGTGGTCACTAACACAGACGCACATGAGACACACAGACATTTTCGCTCATTCACCGTGAGAATTCACGTTTTTGGCTCTTTGGAATGTAAACAAAGATTCGTAATGACATATCGCGCATCGATTCCAATTCTCACTTGCCTCTACTTGTTCTTGTAACTAGAGCAAGGAAGAAAGGACCTTATTCCAATCGGCCATTTTCAACCTTGGCCTGATCTTCGAAGTATTTTCAAAGTTGATAGAGGATTACCTCCTGAGTCAAAAACACAAGCGATTTTTTAAATCGGGCAATCAAGGGGGAGGTAGAGGGGGGGAGTCAAAGTAAAAAATGTAAACTCACATATCTCGCTAATGTATTTGTTGTAAAGAGATGATCTTGGTCTCAAAATGTAGAGAAAACCACCAGCTTTCAGGCGATGTTTAAAAAATTGGTCCATTTTGAGAATTTCATCCATTGCTGCGTGCCGCATTGCCACATTTTCACATTTTCAGCTGTGACGTTGAGGGAATCGCACAAAAAGTAATCAAAATATTTTCTGATGAAAGGAGACCGTTTAAGCTTTAAAACAAGCACAAGTTCATCCTGGGGAAACAAGTTGGAGGAGAGATATGATTTTTCAAAGTGGATGCGGTACACTTGGACCTGGTTTGTTCCGAGTCCCAAGATCACGAATGCCCCAAAACCGATCACGAATTGCAAGGTTATACATTTTTACACCCCATTAGCTCATTTCCGAAGAAAATTATTAAGAAAGAACAAAATATCGAGACACGTGAATGTTACAGGACTAGCCTCAGCTGACGCTCGCTGCATCAACCTTAAAAAATCGTGACTCTTTTTCAAATCGTTTCTCTAGGATGGACTTAAATTTAAAAAGCTCAAATGGTAGGCTTTTATTAGCAATTCCTCTTTTTTCTACCCAGAGGAGCGTTGAAGATATACAAACATTTTTTTATGATCGAAAACTTTGATTCCCCTGTATCCATTGCATATTAATCATTTATCCTGATCTTGTCATTTTTGACTGATGATTTTGTCTAAGTGTGACATATAAAGGTACCGCCCCCGCTAAAAATTGAAAATATGAACTACGGCAACGTGACAGGAATGGATGACATTTTCAAAATGACCCAATTTTGTCACTATTGTTTGAAAGCTTGTGGTTTTCTCTAAATTTTGAGACTAAGATAATCTCTTTACGACAAACCGTCCACGAGATATGCGAGTTTGAACATTTATCTTTGCGCCCCCCCCCCTTCCCTTCTATCCGTAATTGTTTGATTACAAAAATCGTCAGTAATTTGAACTCGGAAAATGAATCCTCTATCGACCCTGAAAATATTTCGAAGATCAGGGCGAGGTTGGAAATGACCGCTTTTTAATACGGCTTTTTGATGACCGTTTTATCACCCATTCTCCTACATTTTATTGAAAGAATCCTGCATGAAATGTTCCTGCAATTCTGCGGGAAGTTGAGATCGTACTATCATAAACAGATTTTTAATTTTACCTTTGCCTTGCATTAAAAAAAAATATCCAGGAAAATTGATAGCCAGAAATAGCTAGTGATTGCCAGTAAGAGGGAGTATAATAGTTAGCAAATTGGAGTAGAAAACAAAGAGAATGTAAAAGCAGCCCGAAACGGTAACGACAATCGAAATCACAAGAAAATATGGAAACAAGACAAATTGGAGTAGAAATATAGTATCATTTAGTCCAGTAGATCAACTTTTCACCCATCTCTTCTCACAAAATGGTTGATGGGTGAATGTTTCCATTTAATCCATAGTTTTTCTCACTTGTCAGCAAAGCGAAGTAGCAAACTTGGAATCGATGTCTCTCGGTTGCGAGATTTCAAAATGTTCGGTCTTATTTAATTTTTTCCCTCGGATGGAAAAAAAGTATCTTGGATCCT